AAGGAAGCCCCATGTGCAAATCCAAGTTGACAGTCAGGCCTAGCTTAGATGTCCCAAAGTCAGGTGTGCCCAGGAGGTCCAGCCGGTCCAAGTACCACAGTCTCAGCTATAAGGGTAGAGATGTGGGAAAGGCAGTCTGCCTTTTGGTCTTATCGAGAGGCAGCACCTTGGTGACTGCTGTGAGCTAACACACAGCAAACAAGTGGCACATTATTAAGTATCAGCAACGTACCCGCAAAGGGAAGCACCCCCGTCCCACTGCCTGGTCATGGTCACCCAGCATGACGCCACCCATAGCCATCAGTGAAGGCCCCAGAGTTGGTGAATATGTGGATTTCAGGATGGCCTTGGATGATAGAACCAGGACAATGGCTGTAATTTCTGTCCACTGAGCTTAGTGACCCTTCCTCTGCAGCTGGAAGGGGTTGTCTGATGCAGAAGGATGGCTGGTAGCTACCCAGATGGCACCTCTGCATGCCCCATCAGCGAAGCAGTCACACCCCTGCTGCAGCAATGTGATGGCCCCTGGCTGGTGGAAGGGCCCCAACTAACCAAAGGCTGAGTGGGAGCTGTTTATTGGAGATCTTCCTCAGGCACTCTGGAGGAGCAGAGACTGAAATCCTCATGAGGCGCAGAAACTGCTAAGCATTCGGGCTTGGCTCAGTCCTGTGAGTACCATTTCCACTTGGCAAGAGATGGTCGGTGGTGGTGCCCAGTTTGCAAAGATGAGGATCCTAAACTCAAGGCACAATGGGAATCGATTTTTATTGTGATGGGCTTGGATCCCATCAGTGTCCATCTCAGAGAGGGCTAAGTAAGCTGCAGCCAGCTGTCTCAAGAGAGTCAAACACATTTAACACAGGATTTATGCCAAAAGCCCACGGAAGAAGAGACCTGGATTGGGTAGTCTAAAGCCTCTATGTGTGAAAAAGCGATGTCTTTGGAACCTAAAGCCTACATCTGCAAATCCTTCCTCCAGAGGACAAGTGGAAGGGCCTCCTGGATTGCCTGCTGGTCAGCCCTTAAAGCTTCTTCTGGAGAAGGGCCTGAGTGAAGGTGGATGTCTCATAGGTGACCTGAAAAATGGAACTTACTGGAGGTTTGGCATATGTTTTCTCCAGAAGCCAAAAATACCGACAATGCCCTGGGTCTTCTTGGTGGAGATGGGATCCCTGAGGGTGAGGAGCCTGAGGCCGACTGGTTGTAGATTTTGTCTGCCTTCCTTATTCTAAATATAGCCTCACAATTTGGACTTGGCGGGGAAAGGGTGGGAGCAGGGTGAGAGATAAAAGACTACTACACATTGGGTACAGTATAGACTCTTCAGGCGATGGGTGCACCAAAATCTCAGAAATCACCACTAAAGAACTTATTCATGTAACCAAACACCACCTGTTCTCCAAAAATCTACTAAACTTTTTTTAAAAAGTAGCAATAGCTTAACAATGTTGAAAACAATGTAAGAATGTAATAGTTCTTTTCTGATACAATTGCATTTTCAATGTTATTAATTTAAGGGAGTATATTTGGGAATTCAGAAAGGTCAAGGGATGAGCACTTTTTAGATTTTTAAAAGGAAACATCAATTAGAATCGTTTTTGTTTTGCCATAAAAAATGTCATATGCTATTTAGTATGCTGGAAATTTTTCCTCTATTATTTGACAAAAATCAAAGATTTATTCCAAAAACTAATTTTCTCAACATCAAAATCTATAACATGAGTAAATTATAATTTTAAAATTTTCCCTTAGAAATTCATGCATTCACAATGTTGATCTCCAGAACAAGGATTGAATACATTAGTTAGACATCAGTTTCTTGATGTTTTGAATAATATAGTCTGGCAATTTCTTCTGTTTCTTAGCCTTCTGTATATAATACTTGGATATTGCCCATATTACTGAAATGAAAATTTATTGAAAGGATACTAGCATGTCCACTGAGATTTATAGTGTATCAGTTTTGGAAAAATTTGATCTCATTATATCAAACTGTACTGAAATAAGGGCAAAACATTTGCAAACCATATAGCTTCAAGTAATTAGTGACTTGTTCAGATCTGTCCCTTAAATTTTTCTGTTTTTGGAAGAAATCAATGAGTACAGACTGTTGAACTTGGATATTCCACATTTAAAGAATGCCAATTTAAATTCCATTCTTCCTATAAAATTAACATTTTACATCCAAAAAAATAAGTAAATATAGCCCCACAATTTGATGGAAATGGCAGGCTGTTGTATCATATGGGACAATGGCTCATCCCCATTGAGTTGTGTGGTTTGTTGTCAATATGAGGGCCCATTGAACCTCTCCCTCTTTGTTATCAGGCACAAGGACATTATCCACATAGTGCCACAAGTGGCCATCAGGTGGCAGTCAGAGGGTAGCTAGATCTAGTCAATGCAACCTTGAGCCAGTGGAGGATTGTTGAGGTAGTCCATTAGATGCCTCCTAATGGTGTACTGTCAGCCTTCAAATCCAAGGTGAGCTGCACCTATCTTCTTCACAAATTAGACATGACAGAACAGGTTTGTCAGGTGAGTAATAAAACCAAGAGGCAGAAGCATTCTGAACTTCTTCCAAGACAATGACAATGCCAGGTAAGGGGGCTCTAAAAGGAAGTACAGCCTTGTTGAGATTGCAGTTATTAGCAATGAGACTTCATTCTTTTCCCTGGTCTTGAGAAAGGGCCATTGGTGAGTTAAAAGGTGAGATGGTGGGTTTCAGAACACAAGCTCTATTAACTGGGCAGATCCCCTCTGTGCCTTGCTTGGGTGATATTATGAGGTACTGACCACCTGGAGGAGTCTGGGGAGTTGTAAAGGTTCCCAGTAGGCATGACTAATCATCGGTGCAAAGAACTTGGTGGGGCGAGACCTTCAGGTGGGGAACTGAAGTGCCAGAATGTCCAGGCCAATGATAGGAAATGGTCACTGAGAGATGGGCAGGAGCAACACTGGTGCTCATGGGAGAAGGATGAGTCCTACCTTAACAGTGAGCATAGCAGGCATCCTAAGGGCTCATCTTCCTCTCAGTCCATCAATGGGCACAGGAAGCCTGGTGCACTGCATGGGCAAAGCAGAGATAAGAGTGACCCATGATCCAGTGTGTAATAAGACTATACACGTCTACAGGTTTGACCACCAGAATTAGTTGTGATAATCTGGTTGACACAGGAAAAAAAGCATTTGGCTAAATCCATCATATGATTAGAACCCTAATCAAACTAGAAATTGAAGAGAACTTCCACAATCTGGTCAAGTGCATCTAAGAAAACCTACAATAAACATCCTAAACTAAGTTAGTGCGGAAAGAATGTTTACTCCATAAGATTGGAACAATACATGAGTAATCACTTTGACCACTTCCATCAACATTCTGCTGAAGGATTTTGCTCAAGAAATAATGCCAGGAAACAAATCAGCCAATGGATCTTCAAAAAAGTTAACGTGGAAGGGATACCCTATTCACTAAATGGTTCTAGGAATAGTGGCTGACCATTTACTTAAAAATGAAACTGGACCCCTATCATTGACCTGTACAAAATTAACTCGAGGTAGATTAAAGGCCTAAATGTAAGACCTAAAACCGCTCATACATTGTTGGTGGGAATGTCAACTAGTTCAACTTCTATGGAAAAAGTAGGGACGTATCTCAAAGAACTAAAAGTACAACTACCTTTCGACCCAGCAATCCCACTACTGGGTATCTACCTAAAGAGAAAGAAGTCATTATATAAAAAGGCACTGCACTCCCATGTTTATCACAAGATAACTTACAACAGCAAGGTCATGGAACTGACGTTCCAAGTATCCACTAACGGTTCATTAAATAAAGAAAATGTGGTGCATATATACCACAAAGTACTAGGCAGTCATAAAAAAACAAAACAAAATCATGTCCTTTGCAGCAACTTAGATGCAGCTGAAGGTCATTATCCTAAGTGAATTGCAGAAACAGCCAAATATTGCCTGTTCTCATGTATTAAGTGAAAACAATGGGTACACATGGACATGAAGATGGAGAGAATACACTCTGGGGACTCAAAAAGTTGGGGGGAAGGGTTGAAAACGTACCTATTCGGTACAACCTCCAATATCTGGGTGCTGGGTATGCTAGAAGTTCAACCCGCACCATTGTGCATGTAATATACATGTAACAAACAAGCACGTGCACCTTCTGAATCTAAAATAAAATAGAAAAAGAAAAAAGCCAAAGAAAAACATCCCGGGAATCCAGGGAGCAGCGGCTACTGCCTCCACTGTGCACTGCAGCCCGCAGGTTCCACGCTGGCAGCTCCTGCCTGCGGGGCAGTGGAGCTGCAGAGAAGGGCGGGATGGGTCTAGGTGCCAGGGCCAGAGCCCAGGAGGGGCGCTGGGTGGGGGTCTGGCCGGCTTCTGCCTTGCACCAGAGCAGGGGCGCCTGGTGAAACGGGCAACCTGATGCTCTCTGGGCCTTGCCCACGTTCCCCTTCCATCCACCCTCCTTTGCATCTTTCTGTGCCTGGGGCCCCTATAGGAAGCGGTCACATCCAGACTCACCAGGCCTGACATGCTGGAGGATGCAGAAGCGCTTGTCACAAGAAAAATCCTCCAGGAACACATGAACAAAACTTTGCCTGCATCTGGGACATCCTTCTCTATGGCTGGCCTATAAGGCAAGCGTTCTGCACACGCTCCTTGGCTAACTCCATTGCAGCGGAGGACATGAGCCCAATCTCCACCGCAGGTGCAGATCTTTGCCTCCCTTTTATAATGTCTGTATTCAAATGCCACAGCCTGGAAGCCTCTTTCTGATAGGATGAGAGCAGACTCTGTACTACAACACGGATTGGATAAGTCTCCAACTCTGATTAGTTAAGATTATCCAGTCAGAGATGGAGACTATTATCCAATAAGAGTTGGCAAAAAAGTTCCTTCTCATCCAATCAGAACCAAGCTTCCAAGATACAGCGGTTGCGCACAGCTGTTATAAAAGGGAGGGGAAGGCCCACTCCGCCATTTTCTTTTCGTGGAGGCTGGGCTCGAGTCGTCTGCGCTGTGGTCGTCATGGACCGGAAGCGTGTGCGGGCGCGCCTGCCTCGAGGCCAGCATCAGGGAAGTGTGTCCCAGGTGAAGGCGAAGCTTCCTTCACGTGTTCTTGGAGGACTTTCCGCTCGCAAGCGCTTCTCCATTCTCCTAACGTCTCGGGCCTGGTGAGTCTGGTTGTGAGCTCATCCCACGGGGCCCAAGGCACAGAGAGAGAGGGGAACCGGGTGGAGGGAGGGAAGCGTGCGCAGGGACCCAGAGCGTCGGACTGCTCAGGCTGCGTGCCCCCCGCAGCCCCCGGGGAGCTGTGGCCTAGCTCAGGCCAAGGCAGAGGCCGGGCCTGGGGTCCTGCCTTCTGGGTCCCTGCGGGCCTCCTGTCATCTGCATCTGGAAATGTTAGTGAAGCGAAGGTTTGTCAATATTTATTGGCCTTTGCATCTTTTTCTTCATTTTCAATGCTGGCTTTTCTGTTGGGTCGTTTGTGTTCTTACCTTGATTTGAAGAATTTAAAAAGATATTCTATAAATTCATCCTTTCTAGGGTCATTTCTAGTGCAGATAGTTGTTTCTTAGTCTGGTCATTGTACCTTAATTTTATTTCGCATATCTTTCTTGCTGATAAATAAGAATCTAATTGATTTTATATATTGATTTTGTATCCTGTTACCTGGCTTAATTCACATATTCATAGCTGTCATTTTTGGATTGTGGTGGATTTTTCATGTACTTATGTACATGTAGTTATGTACTTAGGTACTTATGTACTTACTGTCAGCCACATGTAATAGCAGCTATATTGCTTAAATGTTGGTTCTTACACCTTTATTTTTCTTTATTTTCTTTTATTGTCCCGATCACACCTCCTGAACACGGTGTGTCTGGTTGTGATTCCAGGGAAAAGATTTCAGAGGTCCTGTATTAATTATATAGTTTGTTATAATTTCATTTTAGACAAACTTTATCAGATTAAGGAAGCTGCCTTCTTTTACATATGCTAAGACTTATTTATGACTAATTGTTAAATTTGAATAAATGCTTTTTTTACATATGCTGTAAATAATCATACGTTTTTCTCCTGTTTTTCTCAAAATAGGATATTTTACATGAACTATTTTTGGGTGTTAACCAATCCTGCATTTTTTAGTATATCCCACTTGGTATCCATGTGTTACATTTTCATATGTGGTTTAATTCATATGATGTGATTTTTTAAAGAATATTTGTATTTCTGTTAATGAAAGAGAAGGCCTATATATATTTTTTCTAATGTCCTGTTCAGATTGTGGTGTCAACGTAATGCAGGCTTCACAAAAAAAACTGAGAAATATTTCCTATATTTCTTCTCTTTAGAAGAGTCTGAGAAATTTAGGTGTTTTCTTTCTTAAATATTTGGAATATTTCTTTAGGTATGGAATTTTCCATGTGGAACAGTATTTTTGTTGGCTGGTTTGACTTCTAATAATTCAAATCCTTTGGCATATGTAGGAGTTTTCTTGTTTTATGTTATTTCTGTGTCCATTTTAGTAAGTTTATTTATTTTTATTTTTATTTTTGGGGGGACAGAGTCTTGCTCTGTCTTCCAGGCTAGAGTACAGTGGCACGATCTCGGCTCACTGCAACTTCCGCCTCCCGGATTCAAGCAGTTCTGCAGCCTCAGCCTCCTGAGTAGCTGGGATTACAGGTGCGTGCCACCACACCTGGCTAATTTTTGTGTTTCTAGTAGACACAGGGTTTCACTATGTTGGCCGGGCTGGTCTCGAACTCCTGACCTCACGATCCACCTGCCTCAGCCTCCCAAAGTGCTGGGATTACAGGTGTGAGCCACTGTGCCCGGCTGTATTTTTTAGTAGAGAGAGGGTTTTGGCATGTTGGCCAGGCTGGTCTCGAACTCCTGACCTCAGGTGACCCACCTGCCTCAACTTCCCAAAGTGCTGGGATTACAGGCATGAGCCACCATGTCTGGCCTAGTAAGTTTGTTTTTCATTGTGGTATTATTTGAATCTCTGTTGTCAAACTCGTAGTCCTAAGTATTTCACCGAACCCTCCTGGTGTCTTAATACACTGCTCTGTAGAGCAGGCTTCTGTTTTGATTCCTGATATTGGTCTTTTGTGTGTTTTCTCTTTACCTTAATTAGTTTCACTAGTGGTTTATTAAGTATATTAATATTTATAAACCTTTTTTTTTTTTTTTTTTTGAGACAAGAGTCTCGCTGTGTCGCCCAGGCTGGAGTGCAGTGGCGCGATCTCGGCTCACTGCAAGCTCCGCCTCCCAGGTTCTCACCATTCTCCTGCCTCAGTCTCACGAGTAGCTGGGCCTATAGGCACCCGCCACCCCGCCTGGCTAATTTTTTGTATTTTTTAGTGGAGACAAGGTTTCACCATGTTAGCCAGGATGATCTCGATCTCCTGACCTCATGATCTGCTCGCCTCAGCCTCTGAAAGTGCTGGGATTACAGGCGTGAGCCACCGCGCCTGACCCTATAAACCAACTTTTATCCTTGATTTGTTTCTGTTGCATTTTTTTCGTATTTCATTGATGTCTGCTCTTTATTACTTTAATTCTGCTTTCTTTCATTTTGATCGTTTTTAATTCTTGAGAAGGAAGTTTATGTGAGTGATTGTCAATCTTCTTTTCTATTGTAACACATTCCCTTAAGGCTGTAAATTTCTCTCTAAGCAGGGATTTATCTGACAGCACACATTTTCCACCAGCTGTTTCCAAACCCTGTGTCTGCAGCCGCATTGACCTCCCAGTGTCTCCACCCTGTATGCCTGTAGCCATGCAAGGCCTTGTGTGTCTCCATCCTTGTGCCTGAAGCCTGTATCTTCTCACCAGTATCACCATTCCATAATGACTGAAGCCCACGTCTGCCCTTGTGTATTGTCACCTGGTCTGTCCTCTGCCTGCACTTTAAGCCTCCAGTCAGAAGTCTCTATTTCTTGCTCCTGCAGCCCTTGCCAGCCATGTGAGTCTCTATCCTGTGTGCTTGCAGCACATTGCTTGCCTTGAGTGTTGCCATCTCCTTAGCCTTCAGGCAGTAGCAGTCTTCCAGTGCCTCAATCCGTTGCAGCCCATTCCGATGGTTTTGTCTGTCTGTCCCCTGAGCTTCTGCCCATGCCAGCCTGTGTTTGCTACATTCTCTGTCCCCCTAATCCATGTCCACAGTCAGTGTTTTCATCCATGCTTTTTGGGCCATGTCTGCACTCGTGTCTCCTTCCCCTGTGCCTTCAGCCTGTTTCTGTCCTTTTTCTGGATCATTTCTCCCAGGAGACTGTGCCCAAAACGCCTATCCCTAGTGTTTGTACCTGCAGCCAGTCTGTTTCGTTGGGTGTCTCCGTCTGTTGTTACTGCAGTAGGGGCCTGTCATTGAGTGTGCCTACTTCCCATGCCCGTCTTCCTGTGTCTCCAGCCCTTGTCCATGCAGCCCACATTAGGACTCTTGTGACTCCACCCTTCAGCCTACAGCTACATCTACCTTTGGGTGTCTCTATCTCTGTGCTCCCTGCCCACACCAACCTTCACCTACTCCTCTGTCCTGCACCTGTACCCATGTCTGTCCCTGGTGTGCCTCTGTGCCATGCATCTGTAGCCAGTGAGCTCCCTTTTTGTATGGATCCCCTGTAACTGTAGCCCAGGTCTTCTCTCCTGTGCCTACAGCCCGTGTCTGCCCTTGAATGTCCCCATCTTCTGTGCTTGTAACTCTTCGGCCAGGCCTAGTGTGTTTCTACTCTTGGTGCCTGCACCCATGTCTGCCTCCAGGGTCTCCACTCATTGTGCCACAGTTTGGTTCCCGATCCCTATCCTCCTGGGGTGGATTCTGGCATTGTGTTGGGAGGGAGAAGGTGACCCATGAAAGGGAAGCCTAGAATGATGTAATGGGCAAGGAGGCTGCCATTTGGCAGGCTGCACAGTGGCAGAGCAGACATGGCCAGTCACGTGGGGCTGTGCCTAGTGTGGGGAGTAAGGGGAAGCTGGAGCAGGAGGTCTGGAGCCACCTGGCCCTCTTGGGCCTGAGACCCTCCCCACTGCAGGGGCTCCATCACTTCCCCAGTGGTCCTGCCTCCGGGGATCCTCCTGCCCTGCAGTGTTTCTGCAGGGATCCTCTCACCTGGAACTTGCAGTGGCAGGTTTCATGTGAGGTAGAGTTTAGCAAATGTTTATTGGCTTCTGTGCCTTACTTTTCTTCATATGCTTTGCTCATTTTGTACTCATACTTGTTCTCTAGTTTGATCATTATTTTCGGTTGGTTTCATACTAGTTTAAAGTAATCTGGTTGATAACAATAATGTATCCAGTAAGTTATTAATGGTATTGGTTTTGGGGTTTTCAGGGATTATTTAGGCATGTAATAGTGTCGTAATGACAATTTTTTTGGTTTAAAAATTAATCCTAATGCCTTTTTTTTTCTTACTGTATTGTTTCTCCACTACAATCCTGATCAGAGAGTGATAGCAGGCATCCTCGTCTGGTCCTGCACTGGGGCAAAAAGCTTCCTATAATTCTCTATTAATTATGTTGTTTGTTATTGGCTCATATTAGACTTCATCAGACTTCATCAAATTAAGGAAGTTGCTTTTTTTTTTTGTTCAAGACAGAGTCTCGCTCTTATCGCCCAGGCTGCAATGCAATGGCTCGATCTTAGCTCACTGCAGCCTCCACCTCCCAGGTTCAAGTGATTCTCCTGCCTCAGCCTCCCGAATAGCTGGGATTACAGGCACCCACCACCATGCCTGGCTAATTTTTCTATTTTTAGTAGAGACGGGGTTTCACCGTGTTGGCCAGGCTGGTCTTGAATTCCTGACCTCAGGTGATACCCCTGCCTCGGCCTCCCAAAGTGCTGGGATTACAGGCATGAGCCATCATGCCTGGCCGGAAGTTGCCTTCTTTTTTTTGTTATTTTTTATTTTTTTGAGACGGAGTTTCACTCTTGTTACCCAGGCTGGAGTGCAATGGCGTGACCTTGGCTCACTGCAACCTCTGCCTCCCGGGTTCAAGTGATTGTCCTGCCTCAGCCTCCTGAGTAGCTGGGATTACAGGTATGTGCCACCACGCCTGGCTAATCTTGTATTTTTAGTAGAAATGGGGTTTCTCCGTGTTGGTCAGACTAGTCTCGAACTCCTGACCTCAGGTGATCCGCCCACCTTGGCTTCCCAAAGTGCTGGGATTA